CGCCTTCTGCCACTATACCACTCCTCCCCATAAAATAAATTATACGTAATTATCATCAACTATCAGTTTTGCTTTCTAAGAAAAAAAATCCCTGATACCATGCGATGTCGTTGAGCACTGTAGCTTCCCAGTTGCTTCTCGACCAACACCAACTTGAATTTCGTCTGCAATTCCCTAAGCCCCTGACCCCCATGATCAACACGATTACGCGCTGGAATAAACACCTTTCCGGCCGAATCTCTAGAGAGTTGAGGGGGAACGGCACGTACTCCACCATTCACCCTAATCTATTTTGCGGCTCCTGTCGATTCATGACTAGGTTTTTTGGAGCTGTTCGTGTCACTCACCGCTCCTGGTCTAAACAAACGTCACAATAAAAGGACGGTGTTGCCTTCGCTATTTCCTCTTCACATGCCACCGACCTCTCTAATCAGATTTTAACTTTTATTTCTCATTAGAAAGTACTGTACTGGGTGATTGCCCCTCAGAATTTGCGCATTTTATAGTTCAGTTTTCTCGAAAGAGTCGGGAAAACTTGCACAGGACCGAGCGTGTGTAGCTGATTCCCCAACAAACTCGTTTATACTCTTAATTTAGGTAGATGTGGCAATGAGACGCGCTCTCTCCTACTTTTGCTCTCCCCCTCTTCTCTTAACTCTTTGGGCCTTGAACAGAGGAGATTCTTACGTTGGTTTTCCAGGTTTAGGCAGTGAGAACTTTCTTCTAACCCATGATTGATAGGCACTACTGCTCGCAGAAGGCTTTCACGAAGTATTCTGATCAGGGCAATCACTCGGCACACAGTCGTGAACCTTGCAAGCGAAATTCGCGTGGCTGGCGTCAAGCTCAACCCTCACTGTGCAAATAACACGTTACTCATCACTGGTCTCCCCTTATCAGCTACGAGCGTCTATTGACGTCTGAACACCAACCAAACCGCCGCATCTCCATGACAAAGCGGAACACTCGTATTCAACACCTGTGTCGTCTTCCAAAGTATCGAGTCACCCAAAAACTTCTGAAGGGTCCTAATAAAGAAAAAAGGTCGATCACAAATTTTTGATTGAAATAGTGACTTTGGGAGAGGGGCTTGTTTCAAGACTTCCAGTTCACTGCTCATTTTCGCCACTTCATAGCCGCTTAGTTCTACCTTTCAAAATTCTTTTTTTTTCTATCAGATTCTCTCAAGTATTCTTCCAGATTTTCGAGTTCAACAACGGTTTTTGGTAATATGATTCAATGATTACTCGGTCCTACTCTCCCTACCATTCTTTATCTCCGCGAAATGCTTTTTGAAGTTCCCCTCTGACATTTTTGTGATTGTTTCTACCACTGTTGGCATATTACTAATTATGGCAGTCGGGTGCACCACACATTTGCCTTCCCCCACGGATTATTCATTTAACCAGTTGTGTCCACAGTAAAGATTTGAAATCAATCACAAGCCGCCCTCGACCTTTCTATTACCCTAAGTGGGTCCTCACTACAGACTGAGGGCTCACAAAGATCCCAATAGTTGCCAAGAGTCTCCTTCACATTCAATTCGGGGAACTGTAGCTTCATTGAGGTTATAGCGTTAGGCCAGTTCATAGATTATTCTATTTGCTTCAATCCCTGAAACATTCCATAGATCTAGCGGCCGCAGATGTGTGACTGGCAGAAGACCAGGGAAGCTTTTGCTCCCTATATCTTCCCTTTGGGTTGTTTACCAATACGTACCTAGACAACTCTGCAGCCGATCACATCATTACCTCGATGCTCGCTGAGTAAACACTGATAGCCCATGAATTTGACTTTTCGAAGTAATCTGTTTGCTCACGTTCTCCCCGTCTCTAAATCCCTTCATGCACCCGACGTGATAGTTGTTTTTTCACAGACCACGGGCGGAAGGCGCATTTTCTCAGAGAAAAAAAAANAAAAAAAAACGAAAAATTTCTTCCGACTACCTTTTTAATGAGTGCAGTGTGACTTTTGGAAGGATCCTATCCCACGGTTTCAAATCCTTTGCCGTTTTCGTCGATACCACAACCCTCTAGAACAGGTGAAAGAGGACTACGTGGGCCTGAAGAGTAGAAAACGTCACTTCTTTCATGCACCTTGATTGTTTGGACTACATTCAATTATCCCTAAGGTCCTAGACGAAAGTGGAAGAGTGGCCAACAAACGTTATCAGGATTTCAGGATGAAAAAGGTTCGATTCGACCCTGTCGAAAAATCTGTCGCAGCTGAACAAAGAGATCCAGAATTTTGTTGCCAGATTACCTACAAGGTAACGTTCAAGCTATTTTTCTTACACATGATATCGCTGTTCTAAAATCGCTCTATTCAATTCTTATTTTGATCTTATATCAAATCTTATCACAGGCTTGTATCAACATTTATCAAATACTATACTTAACAGTCTCCCTTAGAATAGTCTAGAACAATGTCAAAGTTTTTGTACAGTTGTGAAAAAAATAGTCTTCAGGGTGCTTCGACGGTCGTTGTTCTCTTGGAGATTCTCTATTGGCTTTATTATGTTCTCATACTTGTATTTGCCATCGTTAAACATCGACAAGCGTGTGAGTTTGAAAGTTTTTTTTTTNATTATGTTCTCATACTTGTATTTGCCATCGTTAAACATCGACAAGCGTGTGAGTTTGAAAGTTTTTTTTTAATTTTTAGGCAAAAAATTGACAGCTTTGCTGTACCTGCTGTACGGCCTGCGCCATGCACCAGTTGCCTTGACAAAAACTGAGAAACGTACCTTAAAAACGATTTTTTGCCTCTTTTTGCTTTTTTCTCACACTGGTATCGAACCATTTTTCAGGGAGTATTGTTATTCTTAGTGTGAACTTATCTCTTCTTGCTTTACAAATAGTAGCAGCTGGAATTGGAGTGTGGAAGGAGAAACCACGATTACTCCAGACTCATCTCGTATTTCTCGTAAGTTCCTCTGCTATGAACCATGCACTTTTCTAATTATATTTAATATATTTGTTGTATTTACGCCTACCCCTGGAGACCTGGAATGAAAACGTTCCCATTCGGTTGGTTGTGGTGCAGTAGGAACGAACTTGTCGCGTCGCGGCGAGAGAGACGTCGCGCGCGAAGGAGTGTAGCAGTTTAGGAACAAAAGAACTAACAGCAGAAGCATGCCATAAGTAATAATCGCTTAGCGATTGAGCTGTANTGTAGCAGTTTAGGAACAAAAGAACTAACAGCAGAAGCATGCCATAAGTAATAATCGCTTAGCGATTGAGCTGTAGGAAAAACGCTAGTACTGTTATAACGAGGCAAATGGTCAGCGACAGCAGCGTGCGGCGAATCGACAACATAATACCGTTCCCATTGCCCGTGTCCCCATTTGGTTCATTATACTAGGTAGGAAGGCAGATTTCAGCTAACTTTCATATACACATCACTTGAAATATGAGAGATAGCATCCTAGGCGAATGCAGTCCACCAACACGTTCCTTCTTGGATGAGGCCGCTTTCCCTTCCCATCGATACCTATCCAAACCGTGGGAGTTATTTCACAAGATCGACGAGCTATTGACGAATTTACAGCCTCAGACAGGATTCGATCTGTGTTCTTTGGGCATCTACCCCTACCCTTTACACTACCGAGATCCAGTCTGTCCTCACCTTCTTGAACAAGAATAAAGGGGGGTATGACTGTAGTTCTACAAGGGGTACCGTAATCATGAAGTAGGGAAATTTCCCCAAGTTCTAACTGCTTTTCAATTTTTCGAAGCATAATATTGCAGCTTCTAACAATGATCTGGGATTTATGTATGACGACAGGATTTTTCATATTGGCTGTCTATCCAAAAGCTAAAGAGGATCAGCTAATCGACTACAAAGGAGCTGAATTCAATGGTGTGAGCATTTAGCTGATTTCATTTGTTTAGTTTTTATCACATAAGTTTGAATTCTACAGAAATGTAACGTAACCGAACTCACTCCTTTGTTCACCCTCGCCGATGTGGGTCACTTTCCCCACTTCCACTGCTGTGCTGTGTCCCTTCCTCGTATTGAACTATCCTCTTTTTGGAAATCCATCCACGATGACCTTTACTTCATTCTCATCACTAAAGGATTTTAACAAAATTATCTAGCAGACATTTTTGGAAGAAAAGGAACCAGGAGGAATCAAGCTAAGTTACTTACTAGTAATCCCCACATATTTGAATTCCCAAAGGTAGGATACGGAGATTCGCCGCGGAACCACAGACCATGGGAGTTCGGGGAGATGTTTCGTTACCCTGCCTTTGAGGGTCCAAGAAGCATACTGGAGTCGAAGGGAAAACGGTTCCTTCACAGACTAAATACATAAATCATAAAACTTGTTCACTGCTGATAACTAAGTGCTTTATTATGTTCTCGTACAGAAAGAAGGCGTTTCCATAAAAGTAATCGCGGAATTCAGAATTTTGAAGGTTGCCTAATTCAGCTCGTACATTTGGAGTCGTAATGGGAAGCCTAATGGTGATGTTCTTCATTATACGATTCATTTCAACGTGGATTATTTGGAAGTACTGGAATCTTCTACACCGAAGGGAACGACGGAATTCCGATGCACAATACTACCCGTTACCGACAAAGGCATGATGCTTTAAATAACATAATAATAAAGAAATTACCAGTCACGTAATTAATGAGGTTGAGAAAATCAAGAAATATCCATTCTCGGTAAAACTACGAAACCAGAGCGAGCTCTGGGACCTGCGTATATCTAGGTATTGGCCCCCAACGGTCATTCAAGCTTTTTACGAGTCATTCTAGCCCGGAGAGCTACTATCAAAGAAGTGGTTTTACTGATCTCGTAGATAATCACCTTTTACCTCAGTTTACTTCCCACAAGGAAGATTGTCTGTGAAACGAGCTCTGTGCCTGTAATGGATAAGCGAACCTTCAGGCTTGTAGGCGGAATATATTCCTATGGTTCTGTAATAAGTGTTATTCGGCATAGAGGTTGACTAGAGGAATACAGATGATATTTGATATTCAGGAGGATATCGCTCGGCAGCAAATGCTGTTCACAAGATCGAGTTTTCCATTCGCTACATAGGAAATGCCACCTTCTGGAACTATAACTAGTATATAAACCACTGATTAGTAGATAAAAAACATTGCAATTAACAGTTTCGTTATATGAAAGTTTTTATGAATCCACTTAGCAAGCAATAGTGTACAATATGGACCATAAACATATACAGAGTCATACTCTCGTAGAATTAGCTAAGTATATTTACAAGCCTGGGCATAAAAACAGGGCATAGATTCACCAGGAATAACTGTGATGGACAGAGGAGAAGAAAAAAGGAAACAAGGCAGATCATTTCAAAAGGCGATCAAACGCTGGCACTTCATAGTCCACGATTTGACCCGCGAGCGAGCGAGCGACCGATCGAGGTTATCGACCAAAATCAAGTTGTAAACAAGGGCCAAGCGCCGACTCAATCGCCCGATCGCTCTCTCGGGGGCTAAATCGCGGACTATTAAAGCAGCCACTTACACAGCCTACCTTACAATCAATGTGAAAAAATTGACAACACAATGTTGTGTTCTTTAGCATGTAATAGAACATTCACAGAATTCTTAAACTTGATAAATGGGCTTGAAGAATGCTCTTAACCGCCCGGATACCGTCATATAAGTGAAGCGAGGGGATTTAGAGAGAAAAAAGCTCATTCGACCACAAGACACTTTCTATGGGCTTACAAATTTGAGCTTACAATTCAATAATAGGTACCCATATATAGAGGAATATACGTGCGTAGAACAAAAAGTGAGTCGTCAAGAGCTGTCAGATGCATATAAATGTACAGAGAGCAATTCCTTTTGAATAAGGAATTGCGGAACCTTACCAATGAATAAAAAATGGTGTACAAAATGAGATTTTGTAAAGTAGGACTGGCAATCGCTTACTCGTAAGTACAGCACGTAGTCGATGTATAATCAAGGTTGAAGCCACGACATTCGGCTCCTCTTGGATCGGACCTCAAAAACGACGAATTCCGTTATTGAACCACTGCATGCTGCTGAGAGTAGCGTGACGATTCTCAATAGTCCTAGCCATTCTTGCTACATTTTGGCTTCCTGCAGTACGTGCCAAAGCACGATCCACATCGCTACGATGATTAATCATATCGATCGGCATGCTTAAACAAAGTTCATTTACAAAAAAACTGAGAAATAATGTGAAGGGAACTCACCTGACATTCATGTCGACCAGCCGTCTGCCTTGAGCAGGAAAGGAATTGCGAAAATCAGAAGAGGAGTCTAACGTGTGATGAGGATTAAGTGCAGCCTGAGTCTACGAAAATACAAATGCCGAAATGCCACCCAAGCCAAGGCTTGGAACAGGAACTCACCCTTAGGGCATTCTCACGTGCCAACATCTGCTGGGCTAGTATAGCAGGATTAGTGATTTTGTGGATAAACTGGCACCTAAATCCTTTCAGATACAATCTACACCAAATGATATTGCCTTCAAGTAAAAAGTAGGGACGCAGATAAGTTGACGAACCTGGCTCCATATTTACAGTATCCAGTATTCGAGAACTTGTCACAAAGCACAGTTTTATATTTAGGATGACTACGACCACGGGGCTGAAAGAAAAACAAAGTTTCGTCATCAATCTTATGCCCAAAATGTTCAAATACCTGAGCAGGAAGACGTAATTCATCCACGCCATGAGCGAAACGACAATCCTTACCGTAACTGCATGTCTGGGTACGTCTATATGACTCACAAAGCGCTGTTTTATAGGCATCTTCCTGAAATAAAAGGTTACAAAGCAAAACAAAACTGAAAGCTGGAATATTTCTGTCGCCTGATTTCAAAAGTTCCAGTATCACCCATTACCCTTCATGATTATTGAGTTTACAAGCAGTGGCAGATCAGGGTTATCCCACCCCAGGCCCGACTTGTATCTTACAGGTCGTGACTGGGAAACCTTCTCATGTCCAACATCTTCATACTGTAATTTATAAAAAAAATGGTAACAAAAGATGTTGTGCTAAGCTAATTATGGTTTTTACAAAAGTGGGGTACCTTTCGCTTCTGTCGGAGCAGCTCCTCCCTTTCATCATCAGCTAATGTACAGGGATCCTGTGAGGCTAGAGCAGATTTGACGCAACTACTCAGTTGCTCACGCAAGTACGCATCTTGTGCTGATAAGTTACGAAGAAGATTCTGGAATCAAGTAGATGATATGGTAAAAGAGGGTGAAAGATAATGGCAAAGCCACAATTTCGATACCAATGCTCAAGCTGACAGTAACGACTGGCTGCTTTCATAGTCCACGATTTGGCCCGCGCGACCGGTCGCGGGCTAAATCGTGGACCATGAAAGCAGCCACTTATTTACGGAAGCCGCGACCGCTATAAGAACCGCAATTGCCTAAAATAAAAGGGAAAAAGAAAACTTACCACATCAAATCCGAGTAGATCTGGTGGGCATGTAGTGTTGTGCTGTTTGTCATCGACTTCGTACATAGAATATTCATCGAAATTTGATTTGATAAACGATGCCCCGCCGGTTTTGTCGATATCATCGCTTTGTTCCAATTTTGTCTGGATATCAGGAAGGCGGTCGGACATTCTGGAATATTCGACATAACAAAATTACTACAATCCTGTGTCGTAAACAAGTAAATAATCTGGTAAATCGCTGGAACAACGACTCATGGAAGCTCAATGAACGTATAGCACGATCTCAGTTCTATCAGAGAACCACGAAGAAAAAAATATCACAAGACACACATAGAAAAGCACTACACACCATTGTACAGAGGAGAGAATGGAAATAGTGGCGCTGGGTGGCTCTTGGCGGAAAATTTCGCGCCAAAACTTTACTTGTCATACAGCTAGGTTGATCTTGCACAGATCAAGTGAACTGATTTCCTACCGTATATTATGAAAACTTTTTTTTGAGGCGAAAAAATTTTAAAGTAAAAAGCGTCACCAAGAATCCATGATTGCACAAAAAATCGTGCAGTGGAATCTTTAGAATAATTGGAAATCTGGTAAAATAGTTGTAGTTATTTGCACGTTGCATTCAAGTCATGAAAGATCAAGAAGGTAATATTAATGTACCACGGAGATTTTTGTGTTATACTGGGCAAAAGGAATTGGAGTCGGTCAGGTGTTGTCATTGGAGCAGCGCCCTCGGTGCGGCATAACTCGTCCAATAGCCCGTCAAACTAGCTAGTGGCTCTAATCTTCCAACAATAATGTACATGTTGAGCTGACTGTTTCATGGTGTTTTTTTATTTCAAGTCGTACCTCCCCCTAGTCGGTATTAGGTAATCGAATAAATGGTGTCATATCCACTGCAAGAGACACTTGGCTGCTCAATTCAGGCCAAACTTCAGCTTTTATAGCTACAGTCGTACTAATTCTTTCAGCCTGGCCGACTAAGAATAAAGTAACCACCCGAGTTATAGTTAGAGAGTTAAATTTTAGGGCTCATTGTCAAGTATTATAAAACGGTTAAAAGCAGGAAAGGAGACTTACTGTAAACGAGGTTCACGATAAGAATTGACTTGTTTATCCAGAAAATGTAAGCTTAAAGTTGGACTTAAAGTTAGCTTAAAGTTTCAATCGTTCTTACAAAATTTCATCATAACTTATTTACCAGAGTGTGGAAGCCTTCTGGGTGCTTCCCCATGCCTGGGAGCCAAGTGTCGCTTAACGTACGGTACGCCATTTCTCATGAAAAAGCTGAACTCAGATCATCCCCATCAATCCGTTTTTCTTCAAGAGGCCTTATATCATGCACAAGTGGTCACTCAATAGAACCTCACTTCATATGAGGCTGGTCCGCTTAAATGGGAACAACAGCGATGGCCTATGCAATATCCAAATCATACAAAAATAGGGTAAATAACATATTTATATTTGCTCGTCCTACTGATATCTTTTTCTGATTATGTGTTTACTGTAGAAGTTCCCGACGAGAATGGTTCATTCTGTACCCTTTCTCGACAGTATTACCCTAGTACATGGCGCCCAAAGCAGATGCTCGTAGGATCCAAAACAGCGTAAACGCTCTCGTCAAAGAAACAATTCTTGACATAGAAAACGTAAGATTTTGGTCTCCTTCAATCATAAGACAAATCATACCTATGAAATATTTTCTTAAATCCTTCTCATATCAAATTTACCTCTATTCCTTTCTGCAGATTCTGAAGCGCCTCCCTCAAAAGGGTGATCGTGTAGAAGTGGTGAAATCGGGTAGCACAAGCAATTTCAACGAGATCAATATTTCGCCCAGAAGGCGTGTATGTATGAACTTCTAAATTTCCATATATCTTCGAACTGGGTGAATCAATCAGCTAAGTGAATGAGCAGACGTCGCTCTGTGAACATCTAGAATGAGCCAGGCGCTTGAAATTGGCTTATAACGGCATAGTTCACAATAATTTTGAGGCACCTCTTTCAAGTCGGAAAGCGGAAATATAGGTTGGGGACAGTTCATTGCTAGTGAAGAGGGCGAGAAAATTCACTGTTTTTGAGACAAATAAGGCTCCTAAAAATGTAAAATCAGAGCTTGGACGAGATTACTATGACGGAAGTAACGCGGAAGAAGTATTCGGACGAGATTACAGTTGTTGCCATTGCGCAAAGAAGTAACCACATCAAGCCAGAACTGTACACAGCTGCCTTCCACTGTTACTATGGGTCGTGACGAGTTGTTTGATCTTCCTACATGAGCCCCCTTGTGATTGGTGCAGCCTCTACAATGCCGGTGAAACTCGTCCGAGGGTACCCACGGGACAANATTCGAGCCTTTACATTGCCCTATCTCAGCCGTTTTCCGACCTGAGCGCCACACATGGTGTACGAGGGGGCCACAAATTTATCCTTTGGATTTATCTCATAAGCCACTTTTATCGTGAACTGTGCCTTTAAAGTCCAGTACAGTAGTGTCTAAAATATTTGGTTGGTGCAACGATTGGCCTAGGCCAGTCTTTTCATGAATCCGTACCAAACTGACTTTTGAGCTCTTAAATTTCATGATAGATCTATTATACTTTATAGAGGAGCGCTTCTGGTGGGTCCAGTCGATGCTCCACTTGCAAATCATCGTGAGTTTTTACTAATCTCGCCTTCCCCTTTTGAATCCTGGTCTAGAAGTTTCTTATGAGTAGGATGAATGAGTGTTGTCGAGATGAATGCTGTAAGGATGTACCTCGGTTGCGCTTCTCGGAGTTAACAATCGGTGCAGGTGTTAAAACGGTCCTATCCAGATCCTGATACTGCTACCATTTCTTTCTATCTCACGACAGCTTGATTTCTGATTTCTTTTAGACACAGCCATCGTTTAAAACTAATTTTCATTTTTAGCTCATCTACATCCCACCAGAAAAAACCAAAGCGAAGACAAAGGAAAAGTGTATCGAAACAAACAATGGCTCAAACGCCGAAGCAAGAAGTTAAATCAGTACGAAAGGAACAACAAACCAATGCCCAACGTTCTAGGATTACTCCTCAGAAAGCAAAAGGACGAATTGTTCCTGACTCTGTAGGCCTTCAGTTATTATTTGCCATGAAAACAAAAAGTTGACCGAAGTAATACCCGACATTCATAGTTTACTGCATTGCAGTACGCCCTTTTCATACTTGGCGATAAGCGGCTGGCGTTAGATGTTTATAAGTGAGATAGTACACATGTAGTGAAGACGGAGGGCAGCAAAACATTTTGCCGGCAACAGGAGCAATCTGCTTACGATTATTCGAGAACCAGGTTAAGAGGGATGGTAGCCACTGAACCATGTGGCCTTGTAACCACTCCCCAACACAGTCCCCAAACAATCCTGACCAGATTGCGACCACACTAGCTCAAGTCGGGAGATGATGTAATGGCAGGCGGGTCACCGGTAGACGGGCAGTAAGAAAGGTTTTGTGAAATCGATCCGCCGCTAGCGGCTGTCGCGAACTATTTGCCTCGTTATAACAGTTCTAGCGTCCTACATACAACTCACTGGCTATGCGATTACAACATACGGCATGATTCTACTGTTAGTTCTTTTGTTCCTGAATTTCTCACTTGCTACGTTACTTCGCGCGCGACGTCACTCTCGTCGCGACGCGACAATTTCGTTCCTACCGCACCACACCCGTGAGACACCACAACATGCATAGTCTGTGGATCGAATCCAATTTTTCACGCAGATGATTGAAAATTAGGAAAATTAGGTATTTTAGATTTGCGTCACACCTTCCGAAGAGGGTTACGGTATGATGATTGATATGGTACTATGCGTGCAATTGGAAGAAACCAAGGAGACAAAACTGTTCAACGTTCGAGTCGATTGTCCAAATTTCAAGCCAAAACGAATTAATATCGAAGGAAATTGGTATGATGTCGTTGACAGCGATCCTAAGGATCACAGCTGAAGAGAAGGGAAGGATCTGATACTTTCTGGCACATTTCGTATTCCTAAGTTACTTCTACTGTCTAATGATTTCTAAGTGCAATGATTACTGTAATGATGTACAGCAAGCTTAATAAATGTCCTGTTTGTTCAAACTGTTTCTCCTGTTGGGCCCCTCTTCATGCTTCAGTTCACCATCCACCATTACTGACTGGTACTTCACCATGTCTGCTCTTCATAGATACTAGGTGTGTAGCAGGTGATAGCCGCTTTCCTCCCTAGAGTTTATAGTCATCGCGGGACCTTTCATAGAAAGAACTCTCTTGATTTCCCTAAGGTGCTTCTTCCTACTCCCTCTCCCTAATTGTATGGGCGGAAGATCATTTACACTTAGCTCTACCATTACCGTGAGCCGATACAGTATCCTAGATCAGATTCAAGACGCGACCCTCTGTTTTGCTATAACGCCCCTTTTTGTTAGAATTTCATCACAAGAAAAAAGTGCTCTCACTTCGAATTTGGGACCATTGCTGTGTAAAAGTCCCTCAGCAATATGTGTCGAGAATGCCTCGAGTCTTCTACACAAGGATCTTCAGCCCGTCGTAAGATCCTCATTCCTGCTAGCGTGGTTTATATTAACCAGAGGTTCTTGAGCTGTATAATATGAACCCGTAGAGTAGGGAGAGGTTCATTAATCCCGTGCAGGCCACTGCTATTTCAGTTAATCTCAGCACACGAAGTTGGTAGAAATAACCCAGCTCCATCATTACCGTGAGCCGATACCGTATCCTACGACCACGCATTCATAGTTCCCATGTTAAGGCTTTCTGCTGTCAGAATCACTACTACACGTGAAGAATGTAGAAGTCCTTCGGCTATGTCAAAAGCTTTTCATCAGTCTCGCAACGACTAGCAGAATTGCAGCACTAAAAACAAAATAAAAGATTTAGCCGTGCATTACGGTACTATCTCAAATACGCAATCACACCGCGCGATTAGAGGTAATTCTACGCAAGTGCAGAATTAGACAGTGAGGGGTAGCGGGCAGTGACGGAGAGCGGCGAGTTGGATTGGCCGTGGGCCAACATTGTCGCCAACACTTACGTCTGCCACGTTTTGATAGAAGTTTGTTTCTTTTAGTGTTTCCTCCTTCTCTTTTTTATTTCTCTCCACTAGGAGTACGTTTTCGTCATAATATAGCTTAAATCGTCTTCGTCATCATGATACTTGACCTGATTTTGTCTTCTTTCATGGACTATTTCGGCTGTGCTCCGCTTACTGTTGCAAGGTTTTTTCCATGTGCAGAAGCAGTGGGAAATTGCTTGAATTACAGGAGTATATTTAGGTTGCTGTTCTGACGTTCTGCATACGAGTAGATTTACTCTATCGCCGTTGTATTTTGAAGTCTAATTTGATTGCAAGAATTCTAAGACGAGCTAAGACATCAAATCGGTTACGGCATTTTCAATCGCGCAGACTTATTTATGGATGTTTTTTTAGTAACCACTATACAGTTGATCCTTTCAGCTGCGTTAGAGACAACGACGTCAGCTTATCGGTTGTCCTCGCCGGTATTTAAACTATGCTCTCAGAGCTCATCATTGCATCTACGTTATTCGTGAACGCGTGTGCTGTCCTTAATTTCAGACTGTAAGTACTTTTAATTTTGCCACTCTCGCTTTCTAATGCTTTTTTCCTTTGTGATTTCAATCTAAGTCTTGCTGCCTCTTGTTCATCTGCTCACTTAGAAATTACTCATTACTGAAAATTTCAATAGTAGACACTGGTGCCTTTTCAAGTTACAAGAGGGAAGTGTAAACCTGTCCTCAGCACAGATACCCTTGGTTGTGAACGCTCTGAGCTGTAATTTCCTCACAAGTGGTAGGTTTTCACATATTTTGGAACCCTCAGTCGGGATGAGGCTAACGAGGTTATCAATAGTTCGTCTTCCTGGGAAGCATGAACAACTAAAGAACCCGAAGAGTATGGAAAAAGTGTAACCTCATTCTGGAAATGTTTCTTGATATAGTAAAGGCTGCAGACTTGAAAGTGAAGCGAAAATGGTTCTCGACCTCTGCTGGAACTCACGATTAACACAGATCCGCGGAGTCTTTTAAATGTTTTTCTGCTCTATAGTACAAATAGTGGGAGCTGTCTAATTTACAAACAATGTCAGTATAGTTCACAAACTTCCTTTTCCTTATTTCAGCAGCAAGAATACGCAAGACTTCAATCACTTTGTTGTTGAAACTGAGGTGAAGTCAGTTGGTGATAAAGTTCGAGAGTTCCTGCTGTCGCTGCAGTACTTCCGTGTGTTCATTGCCCTTTGGAACGTGTTCATCATTTTTCTTATGTTTGTGTGAGTTCATATTCTGGTCCAGCCTGAATTTTCTTGTTCAAGTTTCAAACTCATTCAACTGCTTTTTCTTACAATTACTGCCATTTATAGGTTCTTCTCTCATTAACTATGACCTCAGTATCCGACACTACTGGCCTTAGTTCTAATGGATTGGATTTCCTAACCTCCGCAGATGCAATCCTTAAAGTTTGTTGAAACTCTTTTTTCTTTGTGTTTGGCGATTGTACAATTTGCCTTTCAGAAAACCCTGACTTCAATCCCTGCAGGCCGTCCACGGCGTGGCGCATGCAGTGACAATAAAATGCAACAGCAAGCTTCGAGTGAGGTAATCTTTGCTCGTTTGCTCATTTCTACGTAGTATAACTGAGTACTTTTGTGTCATAAACCCACCTCAAGGCTGTTTTTCCTTCTCGGGATCGATTCCGTCCAACATCATCATGCTCTCGTGTTTAGGGCTCTACTGACGATGATCTCTACATAAGCAATGTTCTGCATGAATTACGAGTAGAACTGGATGTAAAACGGCGAGAAGAAGAACGACTGCAGAAGGAAATCGCAGATATTCTGACTGAATGTGCTTCAGGTATACGAGGCTTAGCTGTCCAACGTGCTCTGAAAACCTTATTTTCCGCCATAACCTCTCCATTTTATATGTTTGCAAGTCGAGACTGATCTTTTCATTTTTTATCATACTTTTCATATTGACTTTCGGGTCGAACTCTTTTGATATCTAGACCAATGTTACAAGTAAGGTGCTTGTCATTTTACGAAAGAATTTTGGGCTTCCCTACAACCGAGCCTACTTTTTTGCAAAATGTAGCTAGTAGCAGCTTCTTTCGCCTTCTCAGCTGACAGCAACTTAACAAATAGTGCAAGACTGACTTTTACTAATAGATCGGCAAGATAACACTCATACGCTTCAGGGAGTGCTGGAGACCACCAGAGTCGAGCCTTCGGTATGGCAGTATCCCGCTTAAACAATGCTATGCTAGTTGTTGAAACTGACACAAAGCAACTTGCCGCTAGTTTACGAACAATATCGCGGCTTGCAGATAATATCAGTGGAAAGGTAGCTGAGTTCAACTTAATGGTTGCTGCATTTATGAATTTCTTATTTTGCTTTGTAGGTTTCTGCCCTTGACGTGGCCAAAACTCGTGTAGTTGAATGTCTTCAGCTTGCGGGAGATATGCATGACCTCGGTGAGTTTTGTTTTCTTAATTTTTTGTTTCGTTTCAACAGCCATTTTTGACCCTTCGAGCTCATATTACACCGACGTTTCTTCCTCATATCTATTTTATTATAGGAGTATGTAGTGAAGGTGTTGATGAGTGTATAAATAACGAAGACTACGAACAAGCCGCTCAGCACATTCACCGCTTTTTAACACTGGACCGAGCCGTATTCCAGTTCAGCAGCAGTACGGTAGACAAAGGTTGGCATTTTTGGGATATTTCATGCTTGATCTATTACTTCAGATCTCTTTGTTGGGGCTCGAAATAAACTCATGTTTTGCAGATGCTGGACTAAATGTTTCACATAGCTATGAGGTCTTAACAAGCGCTACCACTCGACTGAAAGAAATTCTTCAAAAGAAGCTGGAAGCAGCAGTAGAAGCAGAAGATATACCGTCTATGCAAAGGTAAGACGATACTAGCAAGGGTTTCAGTTTTTCTACATCGTCGTTTTCCAAGATGGGTCGATTAAGGTTTGTTAAACTATTCCCGTTGATCAACGAGCACAACAGCGGACTCACTCGATTTGGCAAATATTTAGGCAAACAGATTGCCAAGATAGGAAATGACAATCTCAAGGTATGACATTCTCAATATATATTTATCTCTCTTCAGAAAGCTTTTATTTTTGTTTGATTTGCCTTTCCATCATTATATTATTTCGCGGAAATTCTGTTTATCACATGGCGTTTTCTTACAGATTATGGATGCAGGTGGGACTGACGATAAGCGAACCAATGTTCTTTATGCTGACACGCTATTTTTGTTTTTCGAGGGTTAGTTATTGTTGCATTATTATTTCCTGCTCCCCTTTTGATTTTCTCACTGTTCTTTGACATACCTACATCTTGGCTTTCTTAGTTGCTGTGAAAATTGAGCCTGAACAACGCAAATATGCTCATACTTTTCAACTTTTAACTCTTTTTCTTACCATACTTTTCTACTGTTCTGGTGTGATTTCAAGTTTTTAACTTAAGGAATTTTCGAAAACTTTGTGTTGGAAGAGTCTGCTACGAATAGTATAGCCACATTTGGTAAGCAATGATTTTACAGGTATCGCAGCCCTGCTTGAGACAAACCAGCCACTTATTGAAAGCGCGTACGGACCAGATAAATTGCTGGATTTCATTAATATGTTACAAGTTAGTCCGAGTTTTTGATGTTGTCATCCAGAAAATTTGAGTGGTTGATTTCTTCTTTTAGGTCGATATCGACCAAGTTGTAGGAAAAGTAATCGATGCGTTTGCGAAAAAACGTCAGCTAGAGAAACGGCTAAAAACAGTTCAGCGCCTTCTACGAGAAGATCGTCACAGTGATAAAGGAGAAGGTGGGAATGTCGCCGTCGAAAACCTATAAGACTTTGATTTTGCTTGAAATGGTTTGCTAATCGTGGCTTTTCAGTTGAGCGCTTGGACGCGCTTGAATTGGACACGCTGTTATCGGAGATTTGTCTTATGAATACGCATACAGAAATGTACTGGAGATTTGTTCGTAGACGTCTCAAGGGGGCATCTCTTGAAGCTGATCAGGAAGAGGTACCTATTTCTGCCGAGTTGTTAGGTTTTGCCTTCCTTTCATGCATTTCCTTGCTTGAGAGGCTTCCCTAATAAATCAAGTTCGTTCAGTTCGTAATGGTAAATGGGGACGATTTTGGAGACGATGAAGAAAAGAAAAAACGCTTAGAAGAGGAGAAAGTACGACGCAAGAACGAGAGAGAGAAGAAACTCGACCAGTTATTAAACCGGAGTCTTGTTGGCTCAAAAATGCAGGTGGAGCAAATTTTTTTTTGAAAAATCAGTGCTGTTAGTTACAGCTTGACTTATATTAGAGCTGACTTCCAGGAGATCCTGGGGAACTATCTGTTACTGGAACAGTACTACATGCAAGAATCTGTCCGGAAGGCAATTGACATGGATGCTAAGGAAGAAGGGCTTCTGAGGTTTTTTTTTTCAGAATAAGTATTCGAATAGAGTTTTCTCGAAGTAGGTTAGGTGGCGAATAATATTGTTTTTGTGCGCAGTTCCTATACCTTTGGCGTTTATTCGTTTTTTTTTATCCTACGCAACCATTCTCGCTAAGCGTCTTCTTTTAACTCCTTTCGGGATCCCTCTCTCACTGCAAGTAGTTATCAACCAGCTAATTACATTTCCTAGCCGAGCACATCCTGAATTCTTCGAAACTGATCATGAGTATGAAGGAGATACGAATGAGCCATGTAACACGGTCAAATACAGTGCGCTTCTAGTTCCGTTGTTGACGACGTGTTGTTCTTGGTACGTAAATGCGTCAGACGTGCCATGAGTAGTGGCTCTGTGGATTGTGTTTGCGCAGCGCTGAATTACGGTGTTGCTCTTCTCGAAACGACATTCTATCAACATCTCTACAACACCATTCAGGTGTGCACATACATGGCATAATTTATACTGCTTATTATTTATTCTTTGTTTTTAATAATTGAGCAATGTTTTTAAAACCTCGAGGAATATATTAATGTCTATATTCTAGGCTGGCTATCCCTCAACTAATTTTGCAGCCGAAGCGCTTCAAACAGCACAGAATGCCTACAACGTCATACAACACGGTATGCGAAATTGATTTGATTATGTCGTTTTTATATCTAATTTCTGCTTGGCTAATTTTTCTTTTTAGGAAAATCAGCTGATGCAGCAGATGTTCAGCGAGATCATTTCCTCACAGCGGCCAACAATGCTCGCGGAACTGGTGAATTACTGATAGACCTTCGCAAGGGATTAGAAAATGAATGGAGTAAGACTCAGGTAAAATCATTTCACCCACTTTTAATGATCAAGAACGCTATACCGAAATAACTCAACAAGGCTCATTCGTGGGAAATTCCTATATTAGTTCCCGAAAGAATGGAATGAATAAAAGTGTGAATGTTCCCTTTTATACCGGGTGGCTAAAGTGGCACAACCGAAGCGAAATTCCCCGTAGCTTTTACGTGGTCGGCATTCTCGATTATCTAACCCTTTTCTGCTTTAATTTTCCTAGAACTTTTAGCGTCATCTTCACTTCTTAGGGATGTTTAATAGAAAACTGGGCACTAGTAGTAACTTTCAGCGTAGCAGCGTGGAAACAGGAAAACTGGAACATGCCGTGAGCCAGCTGGCGGATGTGTCGCGAAAGATGCATCATTTGGCAACAGTTGGAATGGAATCTTTGTGCAAGACATCATTTCGCCCTAAGCTTAAGACGAGGTTTGTAATTAACTTATGTTTGGGGGATTTGGAAGGTGACATGTTAGAAGAACAGAAAGCTAGTTGTCGCCTATCAATTCATCCTTCTACGATTTTGCTGAATGTTCTGTTGTGCGCTCTGTGAGTTGGTTGATGACCAAACTGAAGTAAATATTCCTGTAAGTATTATAAAAAGTGTTTTCAGCTGTGATGCTTTCCTTGATTTGCCTCATACGCTGACCGACGTGCAGTTGGCGGAATTTGAAGCTGTTGATCCATTCATTGAGCAGTTTAACGCTAATTTGGACAAGCAGATTGCTAGCTTCGAGCCTGTATTACACAAGGAGAACTTTCAGGTTTGCGATATTTCAGGCTAATGGGAATAACAGTGAAACTTTGGGAATCATTATAATGACTGGATTCAGAGTTTGCTGTTGAGCGTATGCAGTGAGGTGGAGAGCCAATTCGAACGTGTCATCATGAAGTGTTCATTTAATCGGCTTGGCGGCTTGCAGCTTGATCGCGAGTTCCGTCAGCTAAGTGCATACCTGAGTGGAATTGCTGGCTGGACAGCAAGAGAAAGATGCGCCCGTTTATCACAGGTCGGTTTTGTTGTTATCATCTGGAAGGGAAAATAGGAATGAGTCTAGGTAGGCAATACACTAGGTGATCGTCGAGAGTGACGGTACTATTTTCAGTGGTTTTGCTCTTGCTCTTTATTTTGGAGATTAGGTACTGTAGGGCTAAGATCTATGAAGAGTAAAGTTTTTACGATGGCAATTGATCCCAATTTGGAAGTGCCCTTGTATTTGACTCAAGATGGGAATAGAAGGTAGTGGCTTTTATCGATACAAGGTTTTCGCATGGAAAAGGGGCGAGATGGGTCGCTCATAATCAGACGAGTTTGGTGCCGATTCACCGACATAGGGGGGATGGAATTCCGATTGGCCTGTACAGGTATTGTTTCGGGATTTGACACACGTACTGCTCGTGTGGTTGAGCGCTACTTAACACTACCCTAGCAACGCCTCACTTAGTTCCGTAGGTCTGATCAGTTTTAGTCCCAGTGCTTGAGACTCGTAGAAGCTACATTTCGTTTGATGTGACTTCGCGATTTTCCAATGTCTGGTAAGCAACTTCGCGAGAACGTTCGGATCGCTTGCGGTGGAATGGGATTTTGTATAGTCTTCCTGATGCAACAAACATGAGTTTCCTTGAGAGTAAAAAATGAGTCTTCAGATTGTTGCTCTTCTAAACGTGGAGAATGTGGATGAGGCAATCGAATTGAGAGAAGCAACGAGAGCATCTCCCATAGCTCGTATGCTATCAGCGAATGACTCGATCAGAGTGCTCCAGCTCAGAACAGATCTTCCAGCAGCTTTGATACAAAAACTCGAGTTTTAAAGCTGGT